GCAAGTGCAGAATCACTGAACCGGAATTGATAGCTTGAAAGCGTTTAGCGTGGGGCCCTTGAAAGTGCGGGGCCCGTAGCTACTACATATGTAGCTACTACTACACGTGTAGCTACTACTACACGTGTAGCTACTACTACACGTGTAGCTACTACTACACGTGTAGCTACTACTACACGTGTAGCTACTACTACACGTGTAGCTACTACTACACGTGTAGCTACTACACGTGTAGCTACTACACATGTAGCTACTACACGTGTTGCTACTACACGTGTAGCTACTACACGTGTAGCTACTACACATGCAGCTACTACACGTGTAGCTACTACACATGTAGCAACTACTTATGTAGCTACTACATCTGTAGCTACTACACGTGTAGCTACTACACGTGTAGCTACTACTACACGTGTAGCTACTACCACATGTGTAGCTACTACTACATATGTAGCTACTACACGTGTACATAGCTACTTGTGCTACTGGGATAATCCGGCACTGATGGTGGCATCTGTGGTTCCACAATCGTAAGCGTCATTACCACTGTAATTGTTTGCGACGAACACGGTGGGTGGTTTCTCTCGTTAAAATATTTCTCTTCCGCGCGCAAATAAATTTAATTTGAACGCTAAATTTGGTTAAATTCGTAATTCGGCTAAACGCCCCCGTCCAAAATTGAAAACATCGGTTTGACTGCAATGCGACAATTATTGTTTTCCCATACAACAACAATAACAATTTACATTTGCCAAGGCTAATTTCCTTCCGTAGGTCCCATTGCGCCCGCATATGCAGAGCGGGTGGGAAAGTGAAGGGATTTCAGTGGTAGCTCTGTGATATCCGCTTCCATGATATCCAGGAAGGGTTGCACAGCTCTGCGAGAGATCCGAATGGGGTGGACACTTTGTCTCATAGCATGAGGCTGGTAGGACAATCGGAATAAAACTAGAGAGAACATTTAACAAAAAAAACGCAGGAAACATTTTGCATCGTCCGCGTATAAACAGCACTTCGTCTTTCCGCGCGTGCATACATTTTTCGCTAAACTGCAAATGAATCAGTTTTACATGTAGTGTGCATCGCGTGAATATAAATGTGCCGTTAAACCCGCCACCACCCGACACAACCAATAAATTACAACCAGCATCATCAGGTGGACAATATTATGTACGTACATGTTTTGTGCAGAGAGAGGGAATTGTGAGCACACCACGCCTATTCAGTGCCGGATTAAGCTAGTGCGGGGCCTGTAGCATATGTTATAAAGGGGCCCTAAATAAATAAATAAATTAAAAAAGATTCATATTAAAAACACTAATGTTTAACTTGCACAGTAAAGCTATTGTAGTTTTTCATTTGCTATACAGCCAGATAATACGACAAATCGCTAATCTTAAACACCCCAGTCGTTCATGAAAAGTCGAAGGCGGTATAGTACTATAGTAATGGAGCAAGTGCAGAATCACTGAACCGGAATTTCTAGCTTGAAAGCATTTAGCGCGGTGCCCTTGAAAGTGCTGGGGCCCGTAGCAGATGTAGCGACTGTTGCCACGAGGATTATCCGGCATTGAGTATATTCTTGGTTCCCTGCGTTGGCTTCCAGTAAAAATACAGGAGCGAGTTTTTTTTAAGTTATTGTATTGGCCTTCCGAAGCCCTAACAGGGTTTAAGCTCGACTGCATCTGGGTGGATCTGCTCAAACCGTGTACAGTGGTACCCCCGGAGTTCGAACTTAATTCGTTCCAGAAGGCCATTCCAACACCCGATTTGTTCGAGTGCTGGTGCGTTCGATCTCCGAGGTTTCTCCTGTACCTCGGTACGGCAACTTCTATCCACCAAATCCGGGCACCTGAGCGAACCCAAGGATAAATCTTCTTTCAATGGGCCAATCTTTTGGAGAGCGCCTCACCCCAGTCCGTTAGGGACGCTCCTCCGTCAGTCGGGGTTTGAAAACCGCGTTGTCCTCCAGACCGCTGTCCTCCAGACAGTCTCGTCCCCTTCACCTGATGAAGGCCGGCTTGTGTTGTGGCCGAAACGTCGTGAGAATATTATTGTGTTATTTTATTTTATCAATTTATTATTTTATTCGCATTCTACGTGACTTTACCGAAAGAACCAAAGAAGATGAATCCTTGCGGTCACGAAAGCTTTAAATCGAAATTTATTTCTATATTCTTTGGGGTCTTTCGCGTTTATTTCCTCTTGCGTATCCGTCTGCGTAAAGGGGGTTGGGTTGATTTCCTCTTAGTTTTGTTTGTTACTGTGATTCTGTTGTAAAGCGCTGTGAGGCCTTGTGTGAACGGCGCTAGATATATACAGCATCAAAAAAACTGAGTTTTATTCACTTACTGACGTGTCTCTCCAATGCTGTTGTAATCGTGTTATCGGTGCCGCAGCCACAATTGGTCTAATGCCCACTGTGCATGAAATGCCAAGTGCACACACTAAAAGGATGTTTGCTCAACAGCTTTAGCATCTGGCTCGTTGGTCTAGGGGTATGATTCTCGCTTTGGGTGCGAGAGGTCCCGGGTTCAAATCCCGGACGAGCCCTAGGTATTTTTTCTTCTTTAAATTTAGCCATTAATTCACGTCGCATTCTTGCTTTGAAGGTTAAGCACTGTACAGTGAAACTCATTGACATTTGGGGGTGCACTTGGACAGAATGTTGTTTTGCACTTTTATCCATGAAATGAACGCGGGTGTGTGCAGCTCGTTGTCAATCCACTGCTGGATGAAGGTCTGCTCAGTGCTCCGCCAGGCGTAGGCATTTAACACGTAGGCTCTCGCGACCACTGTGCTGTACGTATATGTATGTTGAACTTCTTTCGCGCCGTACGTAGCCGGCCGTGCTAATCGGAGGTGCGAAGGGGCCGTGAATCGGCACGTTTGTTCGCATTACAGCGTCATTAATTGCCTGTGTCGGGCTGGCGGAGGGCGCGTACGACACACATTTTACCTGCGCGATCTGACCCCAAAAACAATCGATTGCGATGAGGCACGCCGGTTGCTTCACCATACTTTAACCATACGGGTCAGCACGGGCTGCGAAAGGGTTGGCCCCCAGGGCCCGTTCGGAAATGACCCGCCGGCGGTGTCGGCCTGAACCGTGACGCCGGGAGAACTCCTCCCGAGAGCTCTCGCGATGTATTTAGAAGTCGGTGAGCAGCGCCTTCCGCCGCGTTACGAGTAAACAGCCAGCTAAAGATCACGTCAACGAGATATATATATTGAATTTGACTTAAATGTGCCTTTCATCCTGCTTTTGACAACAATTACGAATACCGTGAATGTTAAATGTGGCACCGGCTCCCAAGTTATGAAAGCCTATGAGGCCCCGACAAAAAAAAATGAATTACAATGTCGGGATTGGCGGCTTTGTTTCACAATTAGAATTTTTGCATTCTTCCCACGAAGATGTCGGATGCACCGTGACAGTGAAGAAATGACTGCATTTGACAGTGCGCAGCATGCGACGTTCCGCTCTGAGCGCACCGCCACAGACCGTTCGTGCTGTACACACTACAAAACAAGCGCATTACACAGAGATAGAGAGGCAGGTGTCACATCGTGCCTTGATTGTCCGTAACAGCGGTGAGGCACCTCCTGGCTCGTGGGCATTCGCAGCGCCGCACGACCCCGTGTCGTCGTTTCACGTGGCCCGCCACTTAGACATTTCACGGTGGGGTGGTGCAATGGATTCAGAGATTCAGCGTTCCCCATCATGCCCCTCGCCAGTTCGCGAGGCCCCCCCTCCCGACCAACTCCGCGGGGAAGCGAATGATCCAGCCAGCGACTACAAATTCCGCGAGCTCCATCTCCACGAATACTTGGTCTCAAACGCACGCGCTCACTAATGAATACGTGGAAAACTATATACATATCTATATATATTCCTGTCGCTGCAAGCATCTTAGCTGCACCAATCGGGTACTAGTGGGGGGGGGGGGGGGGGGGAATTGTTTTTCGACGTGGCAACGACGTCGCCGCGTTTCTAATTACCGGTTGAGATGGCCGTTTGGTGTGACGCAGTTGTTCCAAGTTTCATGTTGATTCGGTTTAACGAGGCGGGCGCTAAATGAGACCAGGATGAAACCCGCTCCCCCCCCCCCCCGCGCCCCTCCCCACCTCCTCCTCCCCATCTCCTCCACCTCCTTCGCTTTCGTTCTTCCTCCATTATCTTCCCCTGCCCATATAAAAGTCTCATGCACCAGCTTGCGGTCTCCCACATTTGTGGGGGACCGCGAGCCCCAAATTCTCCTCTCCGCTCAACGCGGGAGCGTAGAGTCTGGGGACTTTTGTCCGTGGAGTTTCTGAAATACAATTTTAAAAAATACATTTTTAAAAGAGAGATTGGATGAGCTCATTTGCAAGTGTAATCTTCCCAACACATCAGTAGTAAGTCGACCGATTACTTTAAGAAGCAATTCCAACAGACGGCAAAGACCACTTCTTCGCCCCGCCACTCCCACCCAACCGAGTTAAATGATAAACGTTGTTACGGACTAATTGCATTGATAATACTGGTTTTTTGGGGGTTAGATGGCGACACGCCAATTAGTAAGGTTTGTCACGTAAACAGAACGTGCCAATTCGTAACTAGTACAGCACACCGGTGTGTTGGAAAGCAAAGCCACAACATTTACAATCCGAGTACAGAAATTAAAACTGGCTTCATCAGGCAACAGCCAGATCTAATCCCCCCAAAAAAACCTGTATTATGAATGATATTGGTTGCGAAAGCCTACGTGTTAAACTAATTTGCGTTCGTTTAGCTTTTTTCAGTCATGTTTTTGCTGTTGTTTTGTTTTAATATCGGGGTCACCCCTCAACCCCCATCTCCCAGGATAATCAAGACGTGACCGTCGTGGGATGAGCGTCCTGTGCAGCTACCTCATTTGCAAGACGCGCTAGCGAGCGATGAAATTACAGAGTGGCGGCTGCGGGCATTGCGGGCGAGTCCATTTGACGGGTTCGCGTTTCTCTCTATCGTCCACCAGGCCCTTTGCTCAGCGTACGATGCCATCGCCGTCTCTGGGATCGACCCCCTCGGGTTGGCCAAGTCTGCACTGCATCTTGGGGGCGTGGGGATGAGGTCAAAGGTGAGCGTCAAAAGGTCAAGGATAATAATTGCGTTCCCTTACGAGAATTTACTGCCGAGATGTCGAAAGGCCCAAATTCAGGGTCGCGATTCGGGCACCCACAATTCAATTCACGGATCGAATAATTTCGTTAACTTACCGGCAAACGTAGTGGCCACTAGTCGTAATAATACTTTCATTTTAGAAATAGCGGTTATTCATGCCAACAGCATCCCACAACGCTGTACATTAATTATATATAAGGACCAAATCCCATATACGCGTTTGGCTATGTACGGCGCGATAAAAGCCCAAAAACACGCAGTGCATACATACCGAGCAAACGAAAACCCTGCTACTACCAAGCAAAATAAAACAATTTTAATAAATAAATTGAACCAAAGCACAAACAACAATAAGTTATCAGAGCACGAACTCCTCGAATGCCACATGTTACAAATTGAACGATGTTGATATTTGAGCACCTTATTAACCCTTTCCCGTTCCGATGACGTACACGTTCGTCATCAGTTTTTCTTCTGATGACGTACGTGATGACGTATGTCTATGTCATCAAAACGAAACCGAAAGGAAAATAAAATAAAAGTATCGCCACCGAGGCTCCCACAAGACCACGCGGCAGGGTGCGTGGCACAGTTTGGCGCCAGCTATCGTAGAGTGCAGCGGTCGTGCCACTACGGTTCTCTGCGGCGAGCACAATGGCGCTGCTACTACACCTTTCTAAATCAAATTAACGCTGACCCGCTTGCGCGTTTCCGAGATTCAATGGTGAACGGGACAGCACCCACTCTGAAACTTGATTAAAAGGGGTTCATAATTGTCGGTACCGTGAGCATAGGAATGGATTATAACATCGACCGCTGCCCTTAGGACTCAGGGGGGAGGTGGGGGGGATAGGGAAGCGGCTCGCTCGGGGCCTCAATTATGGACTCAGACTATTGTCCTATCATCTCATATAGTCCCTGGCACGTATTAATATGCTACACAGTGGAAGTGGGGGTCACAAAATGCCAATTTATTACTACTAAACCCCAATGATCCGATCGAAATCCCTAATTTCGATTGGATCATTTGGGGGGGCACGTGCCACCCCACCCCCACCCCTTTTTTATCGCTTGCGCTCTGTACCGGGCTCTTGTAAAAAAAGAAATAATATATAATACAAAAAATATAATACAAAAAAATTACAACTACAAGATACACACTCTGGGGGGCAGTGTTAATTTCGTTCTCGTATTTCGCGATGACAATTTTCATCAGTGAGGTGGTTGCAGTCCGAGCAATCAATTTTTCTCAGATGGGGTACCTGATTAGCATTTATTCTCACTCACTACCAAGGGGTTATCTTAAAACTAAACTATTTATTTTCATTTTACCATGATAGGCCCCACTGAGCCTGGCCACAAATGATAGCCCAACGAAGTGGCTCGTCATCATCACGTGTAAATGTAAGGCGGCCAAATACTCTAAGCGCGTGATGTCGATTCTAAATGCGGAGGAAAAAACCGGAGGACCCGGAGAAAAATCCAAGCGACCACGGGGAGAGAGAGAGACACGCAAACACCAAACATACGGGCATCAGGGTCCGGATCGAACCCACGATCTCCTGCGTACCTGGCGAGGTAGTTAACATCTCGCCACCGCGGCGCCCCATCCTTCTCTTCCAACTCCTGCTGCGGGCAGGTGCCCACCGTGCAGGGCCGCCGGGGCTGCACGCTGGCGTTCGCGTGCCGCCAGGCCGCGCTGGCGACAGCTCTCCTCGCCACGTTGGCGGCGCGGTGGTGGGTGATGGGCGGCGGCGCTCCGGCGTTCACGCCCGACGATAACCCCGCCGCCTTCGCCGACGGCCTGCTGACCCGCGTGAGTACCGCGCTGCGTCGACGCCGTTTAGTTCTCGCCCGCCCGGGGTCGTCCCTGCGTCAGCCGGGATCTCAAACCTTTCCCGTTTCCGGTGTACGTACGTGTACGTCATTAGTGCACAATCACTCTATCGTTAACGAGGCTCCCACAAGGCCGTGCGGGAGTTTGGCGCCGGCCATCGTAGAGTGCGGCGGTCGTGTCGCTACGGTTCTCTGCGGCGAGTGCAGTACGACGTCTTTAAGAGCGACGGCGCTACTACGCCTCTCTAGCGCCGAACCGCTCGTGCGTCCCGAGCTTCGGCGGTGAACGGGACACAACCCACCTGCACCCTGCAACTGGCAGGCGTCTCGGAACGGGAAAGGGTTAAGAGCGACCGAGGTGCGGTTTGCTGTCGGCGAGCACCCGTTAAGGCTGACGTGGGCGCACATCGTTCATAGTTTCATTTATTTTGGTATGGCCCTGTGAGCCATTCGGCTCTTGAATCGGATGCAACCGCAACAAACCAAAAAAAACATGAACAAGAAAAAAACATCTTAAAGTGATTATGTGAGAGCGACGCGTGGATCGTCGCCGTGCGCGGCTGCCTTAGCCCTCCCCCACCGGATTGCCGATGCCACGAGGCGTGCGGGGCTCTCGTTATTTAATGGCGGTGAGTGACTTAAGCGGCGGAGAGCGTCGTCATAGACGTGACGGGCGACCGCGGCGTGTTCCCGAAGTTGATGACGAACACCACCCGTACCGCCCCCCCCCCCCCCCCCCCTCAAGAGAGTGCGATGAGTCACACGGAATGAAAGGACGACGTTCGTTGATTCATCGCCGAAGTTGAGTGCATTTAGAAAATTAATACATTTTGCGCCAGCCAGCCGGTCGGCCTAAAGCGTTTTTATATTATTTTTTTTTCAACAATAACAAGTGTTCTCTATTTAAATAATGAAAGTGTCTGGCCCCAGCGATGTTCGGGCAGAATGTCTAAATCTTAAACAGTCTTGCGCGATTATGCATTATTCATTGCACCTAATCTTCTGCCAGCTGTTCCTGTTTACGAGTCTCACCACCAGCGACCAAATGAAACATCGGCGCAACTTGTTATATCTGTCCCAATGTAATGCCAATAAATACTTTGATAAATCAAAGGAAAATATGTTAAGAGGCAATGGTACTCACCTACCGTTTACAGCAGCCCAGAAGCAGTGGTGGGAATTCCACATTCCCTACGGTGGGGATGAGTCTCTCCGCAGGGCAAACCCACTGTTGATGCCCCCACAAGGTTGCACTCAATTTATCAACCCCCGGATGTATCTGTGTATCTATGCATGTTGAACTCATTTCGCATCGTGGGAAGCCAACCATGTTATAATTGGAAGGCGCGAGGGGGGGGGGGGGGAGAAGGATAACAAACTAAACAACACAAAAATAAATTCTAAAGAAATACATTTTCAATGTAGAGCTGATCAGCCCGACCGCTGAGCAACCGGGCCGGATAACTCAGCGCTCCCGACTGTCGTAACAACTGGCTGTGCAGGGAACACATCCTGTCCTCACCCTGTCCTCACCCTGCCTCCTCCACCACCACCGCTGCTGCCACTGCTCTTACCCTCATCTGGCACGGTCAAAAGTCCACCGCGTTTTTTTTAAATTTCTACTCTCGGTTCGCGTGTCCTCACGACAGAGCTGGCATTTGGTAACGTTGGCACCCCTGCCCCCCCCTACCCACCTCTCTCTCTCTCTCGCTTCACAGGTGGTGAACTACAATTACCTCTACGCCCTCAATGCCTGGCTGCTCCTCGACCCGCAGTGGCTGTGCTTCGATTGGTCCATGGGCTGCGTGCCGCTCATCTCCGCCGCCTCCGATTGGAGGATCGTGGCGCCGCTGTGCCTGTGGCTGGCGCTCGGCGCCCTCTCGCTGCGCGCCCTGCGTGCCCGCGACGAGTCGGAGAGAAGGTGGGGGTCGGATAGAAGGTCGGAGGGGGGGCGGTGGGGAAGGGGGTGTGGGTTGGGTGGGGGGGGGGGCATACAGATTTTGAAAGCAAGATTTATTGAAACGTTATTTTTTTTCCTCTTCATTACGAGCGGCTGAAAATGTCAGGATGTCTGGGCAGGCAGTCTGCCAGGACATGTTTCCGCCGAGTCAGTTTTTCGGCGGGGCAGAATCTTGGATTGCTTTGTCATTGTTGTCCTTCTTGTTGTTGTTGTTGTTGTCGTCGTCGATTTCAGCCTGTCACTTTTATCGCCGGGCAAAAGCCTCGCCCAAATGTCCCTCCATTCTCTTCCTTCTAAGACGTTTGGCCAGTGTGGAAGAGTAGGCCAAAAACACCCCTCTCTAGCGGGACTCTCTTGAACACCCCTCTCTAGTGGGACTGGAGGCACCTTCTGCCAGCAGTGGCATGAGAGAGAAATTTCAGGGTCGCACCTTTCCCATCCTTTCCTTTGGTTTTTGCCGCCTGGTAGCGGGCACTCCGAACTCTGCGATGTCACCTCCAACCGCCCTCTCTCGGCTCTCTCGGCCTCCACTCCGTAGTTAGTTTCGTCGCTCGTCTCTCGTCAGCTGTTCCCGTCACGTGGCCTCCTGCCCCATTCCCCCGTGATTTCCTCTGCTTTCACAAGAGCATTGGTGACCCCGGTTCTTCTCGTTATTTGTTCATTCCTTAACCCATCGCTTTGGCCTTCTCCTTACGATCGATCGACGGTTGGATTACCCGGCGCTTGATTTGTCACTGAATGATTTCCCTGTCGCTGGTTCGACCGCAGCAAGGTGACAGGTGACTAGCGGTAGCCGCAGCCATGGAGAGAGATATCCTGGAGCGTTGGTGTGCCGGATACGAAAATATTTTTCCGGGTCAACGAGCCGAGTTAACCGAGCCGAAATTTTTTTTCTTAAGCCCCTGGGGGATGACCTCCGTGGCCACCTCAGTGGTGTTTTCTGTAGAGAAAGATCAAAGAGCGATGCCCCCCCCCCCCACCACTGTCAAAGGGCACTTGAAATGTAAGTGAGATTCAGCCCCGAAAAGTCAACGTTCGGGAAATTAACAACGACAATCAAAGACGAAGAGCCCCGATTGAATTGGTCACGGCGAGAGTGGCCAAGTTGGCAGAATAGAGACCGATCTGGCTCCTCACTGCCAAATGTTGGCGCGTGAATTGAGGTCTCCTGTCCCACGGTGGAAATGCCGTAAGTCATCTGCAGAACTCTGTCGAGAACAAAAGAGGATTGCCTTTTAAACGGAATGGGGGGGGGCGGCTGGGGGGTGGGGGGGGGCATTCATTTTCTGTCCGCAGCCCGGCACCCCCTCCAACCCGAGCAGTCGTGAAAAAAATGCCGCATTCCCGTGGCGGCGATGAACGATCCTCGAGGACAACCACTGTTGACCGTCCACAAAGTGGTACTCATTTTATTCAACCCGGGGGGTGGGGGGGTGGCGGGGGGGGTGATGATGGGCTGAGTCTACCCCCCCCCTCCCCATCAGGGAGATAAACAATTGTTTATAATACCAGGTAAGGTAAGGCCCACTCAGCTATGTAGCTCTTTTTTTAGTAGCGACCTGGACACAAATGATAGCTCAACGAAGTGGCTCATCAACGAAGTGGCTTTTGCTGACTTCTTGCCAGGCCCCCCTCGCTAAAAAGAGGTTTTCTAACCTCGAGGGTTTTTTTTACCTGGTTAAATAAAGGTGAAATAATCATCACGTTGAAATGTATAGCAGCCAAATACTCTAAACGCGTGTTGTTGATTCTAACCGTGGAGTGAAAAACCAGAGGACCCGGAGAAAATCCACGCGATCACGGGAAGAGAGGCACGCAAATACACAGCAGGCCTCCTGTATACCAGGCGAGGGAGTTAACATCTCCTAGCCACCTTTCAACTGAGACGTCTCGTTGTTCGAGGCGCACACTCAGGCCGCTGGATAACCGACAACGCGCTTGACAACTTCGTCCCGGTTCCTCAATTACTAATTTAGTTCCAAAACAGGAAGGGACTTCAACACAGATTCTGGAAAATCCCAGTGATGAAGCTGCTTGCAATCGTCACGGCACTCGAATTGTAAACGTTGTGGTTTTACTCTGCAAGCACACAACCGGTGTGCTGACGTAGTAACTAATTGGCACATTTTGTTTACGTGGCAAACCTTACTGATGGGCTGTGCCTGGTGGTGGCGGGTTAACGACACATTTATATTTACGCAATCTAACAAAAAAAAAACCTTTATTATTGATAATATTGGTCGCGAAAGCAGACTAAGTGTTAAACCTGTATCCCCAGACTCATCATCGAAACCCACTCGCGATTTATTGAAATATTACGCTTGTAACCACGGAACCACCGGCGATTCAAGGATAGTTCCAGTTTACAAAAAAACCAAGTCGGCGTTTTAAAACATTTCATGGAAGAGAACTAACGCACGGGAAAACGCCACCTCGCTGCCATCTGCGAGTCGCACAGCAAAGAGATACTGAGCAAATGTCGGAGAGTCTGCGACAGTGCACGTTTGCATAAGGTAAAGAGTGGTAAATAATTGGGTTTTTGACTGCGGAAAGCAGTACACGCTGTAGTCGAGTGTGTCACGTGCTGGTCTTAATAGATGGGTATCATCGATACAGCCGGGCCGATGTGGCTATGCACGCGGCTTGTGGAGGCAGCAGCGAGGATTGGCAGATCGCACACACGTTTTGCACAAACATCCCTTCCCGTGTGCGTCAAGGAGGTGCCTTCGCCTGGCTCACTAGGAGGCGGTACGGCAAGTCTGGACCACACCTGTTCTCTCTGCGTGGGATACAGCGTTTCCCCCTCGCACGCGTGGGTATTCTCCGAATGCTCCGGTTTCCTCTGGCACGTATAAACGCTCATTGAATTGGCTGAAAACTTAAAAATATATACTTTCATATACAAGAATAAAAACAATGCTTGCGCGTCCGCGCGTCGAGGATTGCGCGGTGCCGAGAGATGCGATGGTAAACGCCCCATCATGGCCGCCGTCGTCACCGTCATTGTTTTTGCCGGAACTCCGCCCTCGTCTCCCCGCGCGGCAGGCGGCTCCTGCTGGCGCTGGTGCTGCTGCTGGTGCCGTTCGCTCCGGCCGCGAACGTGCTGGTGCGCGTGGGGTTCGTGCTGGCGGAGCGCGTCCTCTACACGTCGGCCGCGGGCCACGCGCTGCTCGTGACCCACGGCCTCTCCCGCCTAGCGCGCCGGCGCCCGCGCCACAAGGTTTCCGCCCGCGCCGCCCGTTCGTGGGTTCACGCTCGCCCGCCGGGGGACGCTGCCGGCGACGCCTGAACGGCGCGACCCAGAGATCGCCGCTTACATTTCCATCTCCCGGCGCCGGGCCGGCGTTTCTTAAATCGCCGCGACCGCCTTTTGTCCCCTCCCTTGCGGTGGAAGTGGGCGCCGCCACTGGGCAGGTCGCGTGCTCGGTTAAGTTGCGGTCACTTCCGCCCCTTCAAATATTCCCTCCTCCAGATCCCAACGGTGTCGCGAAGTGGCCACCGCGACCTCCTAAGATCTGCCCGAATGATCTCCCCTCTCCCCCCCACCCCCCAAATTTGGTCTCAGCTCTTCTTCCCCTTTGCCTCCGGACTCGTGGAGTCCACTCCATCGCCTGCCTCGGCAATCTGCCCTCCCCTGCCGCCGAGTGGAAGGCCCTTTCGCCGGCAGTGCCGCGATCATTCGCGCACGTCCGCGCGTTGAGAATTGTGCGGCGCCGAGAGATGCCGGTGTGCGCTCAAACGACTCGCGACACGAACGCTCCGTCGTCACCGCCGCCGCCGCCGCCGTTTTGCCGGAGCGTCGCCCTCGCCTCCCCGTGCGGCAGACGGCTCCTGCCGGCGCTGCGCCGTTACCGCCCATTGTCCCACTCACGGTCCACTCGGCCGCTGTGCGATCGCCCTCGTCCCGGACCTCTCGACTGCGCGTGACGTTGCCGCTGCCCGCGCGGGTGTGCAGAGGCTCCTGGGAGTGCTGTGGCTGCTGCTGGTGGCGCTGCACGTGTCGCGCAGCGTTCACCGGAGCGCCCAGTGGCGCAGCGAGGAGGAGCTCTTCTCAAGCGCGCTGCACGTGTGCCCGCGGAACGCCAAGGCACGCCCCTCAGCCAGCGGCACCCGTCGCGCTAAACGGAAAAGAGAGGCGAAGCGAGCGGTCGCGCCGGCGTGTGTCTCCCGAGCGGCGGTCATTGTACGGGCGGCGACTCTGCAGCGTCGGGGAAGGAGGCCCTTCTGCCGGCAGTAGCGCGAGCGAGCAACTGCGGGGCCGCCCCCTTTGAACCTTTTAAAACGACGGTGCGCTCGGGACCGCGCGGGGCTCGCGATCGCACGCGTGACGACGCCGTCGCCTTGGCCAGCGGGCGCGAACCCATTGAGCGCCCGGGTTTTCTTTGCCTCCCGGGCCTCTGGGGCAAAAGACTCTCCGGTCAACCCGCCCAGCGCTCAGCAGGCGCCGAGTCCCCACACGTGCGACTCGACCTCACGCTCAAAATTCGGTGGCATTGAACGATCTTTACGAGAGGTTTCATGCTCCCCTGCCACCCCACCCCACGCCACCACCCCCTCCGTTACAGACTGACACGCGTTGTTTATTGAGAGTTAAATGTACGCATGCACGTCGAGATTGTTTCGCACCGTACGTAGCCAACCGTGCTAAACGGATGTGCGGGGGAAGGACAAGAAACTATGGGTCTCTGTGTGAGTGTCTATGGGTCTCTGTGTGAGTCTATGGGTCTCTGTGTGAGTCTATGGGTCTCTGTGCGAGTGTCTATGGGTCTCTGTGTGAGTCTATGGGTCTCTGTGTGAGTCTATGGGTCTCTGTGCGAGTGTCTATGGGTCTCTGTGTGAGTCTATGGGTCTCTGTGTGAGTCTATGGATGTGTGTGAGTCTATGGGTCTCAGTGTGAGTCTATGGGTCTTTGTGTGAATCTATGGGTCTCAGTGTGAGTCTATGGGTCTCTGTGTGAGTCTATGGGTCTCTGTGTGAGTCTATGGGTCTCTGTGTGAGTCTATGGGTCTCTGTGCGAGTGTCTATGGGTCTCTGTGTGAGTCTATGGGTCTCTGTGTGAGTCTATGGGTCTGTGTGTGAGTCTATGGGTCTCAGTGTGAGTCTATGGGTCTCTGTGTGAGTCTATGGGTCTCTGTGTGAGTGTCTATGGGTCCCTGTGCGAGTCTATGGGTCTCAGTGTGAGTCTATAGGTCTCTGTGTGAGTCTGTGGGTCTCTGTGTGAGTGTCTATGGGTCTCTGTGTGAGTGTCTATGGGTCTCTGTGTGAGTCTATGGGTCTCTGTGTGAGTGTCTATGGGTCTCTGTGTGAGTGTCTATGGGTCTCTGTGCGAGTCAATGGGTCTCTGTGTGAGTCTATGGGTCTCTGTGTGAGTGTCTATGGGTCTCTGTGTGAGTCTATGAGTCTCTGTGTGAGTGTCTATGGGTCTCTGTGTGAGTGTCTATGGGTCACTGTGTGAGTCTATGGGTCTCTGTGTGAGTCTATGGGTCTCTGTGTGAGTCTATGGGTCACTTTGTGAGTCTATGGGTCTCTGTGTGAGTGTCTATGGGTCTATGTGTGAGTCTATGTGTCTCTGTGTGAGTGTCTATGGGTCTCTGTGCGAGTCAATGGGTCTCTGTGTGAGTCTATGTGTCTCTGTGTGAGTATCTATGGGTCTCTGTGTGAGTCTATGGGTCTCTGTGTGAGTCTATGGGTCACTTTGTGAGTCTATGGGTATCTGAGTGAGTGTCTATGGGTCTATGTGTGAGTCTATGTGTCTCTGTGTGAGTGTCTATGGGTCTCTGTGCGAGTCAATGGGTCTCTGTGTGAGTCTATGTGTCTCTGTGTGAGTATCTATGGGTCTCTGTGTGAGTCTATGGGTCTCTGTGTGAGTCTATGGGTCTCTGTGTGAGTCTATGGGTCACTGTGTGAGTCTATGGGTCACTGTGTGAGTCTATGGGTCACTTTGTGAGTCTATGGGTCTCTGTGTGAGTGTCTATGGGTCTATGTGTGAGTCTATGTGTCTCTGTGTGAGTGTCTATGGGTCTCTGTGCGAGTCAATGGGTCTCTGTGTGAGTCTATGTGTCTCTGTGTGAGTATCTATGGGTCTCTGTGTGAGTCTATGGGTCTCTGTGTGAGTCTATGGGTCTCTGTGTGAGTCTATGGGTCTCTGTGTGAGTCTATGGGTCACTGTGCGAGTCAATGGGTCTCTGTGTGAGTCTATGGGTCTCTGTGTGAGTCTATGAGTCTCTGTGTGAGTGTCTATGGGTCTTTGTTGAGTCTATGGGTCTCTGTGTGAGTCTATGGGTCTCTGTGTGAGTCTATGGGTCACTGTGCGAGTCAATGGGTCTCTGTGTGAGTCTATGGGTCTCTGTGTGAGTCTATGAGTCTCTGTGTGAGTGTCTATGGGTCTCTGTTGAGTCTATGGGTCTCTGTGTGAGTCTATGGGTCTCTGTGTGAGTCTATGGGTCTCTGTGTGAGTATATATAGGTCACTGTGTGAGTCCATGGGTCTCTGTGTGAGTCTATGGGTCTCTGTGTGAGTCTATGGGTCTCTGTGTGAGTGTCTATGGGTCTCTGTGTGAGTCTATGGATCTCTGTGACTCTACGTATGCACGTCGAACTTCTATAGCACCGTATGCAGCCAACCGCACTCATCGGTGGCGCGGGATAAAAACGTCGTTCTAGCGTTGCGGAACCGCGCGCTTGTGCACGATTTTTCTTCCTCGTGCTTTTGAATAGACGTCGCGATTGTCCTCGCGCACGCGTCTGTGAACCGCATTGACGAGCTTGATGTTGGTGTCGGGCCCCAGGTGCACTACAACATTGGGAAGAACTCGGCGGACAACGGAGACGAAAGGACGGCCATCGCTTACTACGGACGGGCGCTGAGGTAGCTCTGCTGTTCGTCCGTCGTGATGTCCGTCGCAGAACGAAATGGCTGGCGATGAGAGCGGCTTCGGTGTGGCCCCGGGGCGGACGTCCTCGAAGATTTATTTTTACACGGCTAAATTCCAGTTTTAAGAATGAAAACTAGCGATTTGACGGTCATGTGACGAACCTGGTGGGACTAGTGCAGTCCTCTCTCGTGTCGACCAGGTCGCTTGAATGGACCTCAGCGGTAGCTCTGTGATATCCGCTTCCTTGGGCTCTTGCTAACGATGCCGGGTAACCCCAGCGGCATTTGCTTAATGGGCCGAACCGCTGCTGATGAGACTCGTCTGCACGTGTACATGTTTATATGTACGTTGAACTTCTTTCGCACCATACGTAGCCAACCGTGCTCATCGGAGGTAGGGAGGAAGGACAACAAACGAAACACACAGAGCAGTTCTCAAGAAATGAGTTTGTCAATCTAAACTATTTAAAAGTGCATAGCTCCAGCGGCTTTCTAATATCGGAAGGAAGAACGTTCCAGACGGCCGCAGAAGTGCACCTGAAAGCGCTGCGCGAAGCGCGGTGACCACCGCCTTTGATCTACGGTCAGCCACAAGCCGCCGCTGCGAGGATGACCAGAGTGGGCGCGTCGATGGTTCAAGCTCCTTGAAAAACCTTGACGCGCGTTCCCCCGTTGTTCCCGTGTGCCCGCCGTGCCCCTGCGCCGTCCGCCTGCCCGCAGCCTGCACCCCGCTTACGTGCAGCCCATGAACAACCTGGGCAACATCCTCAAGGGCGCGGGGAAGCTGCACGAGGCAGAGCAGCTGCTGAGGAGAGCTGTGCAGATTCAGTACGCCGGCGCCGCCGATGAAACGGATGCTCAGCTCGCTCACTCGCTCGCTCATTCACTCACCTGCTCGCTCAACTCAACTCAACTCAATCACAAACTCGCTCACTCACTCTCTTGCTCACTCACTCACTTGCTTGCTCGCTCACTTACCCACATACTCACTCGCTCGCGCACTGCCTCAATCACTTGCTCACTCGCTCGCTTACTCGTGCACGCTCGTTCACTCACTCACTCACTTGCTCGCTGTCTCACTGTCGCTCGCTTGCTCGCTCACTCAATGATGTTAACACTCCCCCCCCCCCCATCACCGACCCGGCAGACCGGACTTTGCGGCTGCCTGGATGAACCTGGGGATCGTGCAGAACAGCCGGGGAGATTTCCTCACGGCTGAGCAGAGTTTCCTCACCGCCCTGCGTCATCGCAAACAATACCCCGACTGCTACTACAACCTAGGCCGGCTGGTGAGGCCCCTCCTGCTGCGTGCGCTCGTGCATGCGATGTGGTAGTGCAGCGTTCAGCGCGCTGCGCCCCGAATCCGGCGACCCGAGTTGGATTCCCTCTCACGACCAATGACACTGGTAGGCCGCCAGCACGACGCGCGGCCACCCTTTGTGCCCGAGTGCTGACGTTTAACACACCGCGCAATGTACTCATTCAAGGCTGTGTAAACCTAGGGGATGCCCAGGACCGGTTCGGATATCCATCGCGGATGTTGGCGGTGAGCGGGAATCGAACACGGGTCACCGGGTTCACGCCACGCCACAATTGTGTTTCGAAAATCAAAAGCCCGCTCGTAAATTCGTAAATGAAGTCGTGGACCACAGCCAGCGTCGTGGGCTGTGGGTCTCCCACCCCTGGTGTGTGTGCGTGCGTACATATGGGTGCACGTATGTGCGTACGTACGAGCGTACGTACCCGCATGTGTACGCACTTATGCACCGGACAAAAGACGGTCACCGCATCGCGCACTTTCAGATGCGCTTTCTGCGCCCGTCTGGAATGCTCTTCCTTCCTATATTAGCAAGCCACATTACCTATGCCCTTTTAAATCATCGTCTAGTTTTCAAACTTAATTTCTTTCAAGCTGCTTTTCGTGTTTAGTTTGTTGTCCTTCCCCCGCACCTCCGACCAGAACGGTTCGCTACGTACGGTTTGAAAGAAGTCGAGCATACCCACGTACGTACGCACGTGTGTATCGACGTGCGTGCGTGCGTACTTGCGTTAGCATCCACGGTACGCACGTGCGTACAAGCCCGCGTGTCCGCTGGCGCGCGAGCAGTACCTGGACGTGCAGAGGCCGGCAGACGCGCTGGAGGCTTGGCGCACCGCCACCCTGCAGCAGCCATTGCACCGACTCGCCTGGAACAACATGGTCGTGCTGCTCGACAACTCGGGTGAGTGGGGGGATCCCGTGGCATCGCCCCCCATCCCCCCCCCACACACACACACTTCCTCCTCCCCCCCCCCACACACACTTCCGCCAGGTGAGGGTTGCTGTCACGCACGCGACACGAATCCCACGGGCCGCTCGACGTCACTTTCAGCGAAGTGCCCCGGTTCCGTCAAGAGAGACGGGGCTGGGGTTTGCTTTACACCTGTCACCTCTGTTTGGTGGCAGCTGCTTGTCCTGGGAAATGTTTTAGGTCCTTCGCGGGACATCGAAAGTCCTGGCTTTTGTCAGCTGCGTGATGATAGTAACCCTATGGCCAAATCACCCGGAATGCGCCCGAACACAAAACGAAACTATGAACTGAACTATTTTTTATTTTACCAGGTAAGGCCCACTGAGCTATGTAGCTCTTTTTCAGAAACGACCTGGCCACAAATGACAGCTCAACAAAGTGGCCTATCGCGTGGAAATCTATAGCAGCCAAATACTCGAAACGCCCGACGTCCATTCTAAACGTGGAGGGAAATAACCGGTGGAGCTGGAGAAAATTCCACGCGACCACGGGGAGAACATGCAAGCTCCGAATATACAGCAGGCGTCAGGGTTGGGATGGACTCCACGACCTCCTGCACACCAGGCGAGGCAGATAACATCTCCTAGCCACCGCGGTGCCCACACCGTGTCTCAGGAGCGAAGCATGCTTGGCGTGACTGGAAGCCACTAATGGTGCCGGTCATTAAATCTCTCCTAGGGGGGCGCTTTTGCGCGTCCTGTTACCCACGATTGAGTGTGTGTGCGTGGTTGTGTCGGTGCGAGAGATCTCAAGAGTGGTGCTTGGATGGGCGACCACCGATGCATGAAATGCGCTGAACAGACAGCGTGTCTTCTGTTCAAGCCTACGCAGCACCCGTGGCGGCGTTGGCTGGGTAATGTGGCGCCAGGCTACCACGCGGTCACAGACTTTGCCTCACCGCTGCGCAATATTTCCAAATTCCCACAATGCCCGTGGCTTAGGGAAGCCGGGCGGCTGTGAACTTCCTCGCTTTCCTCCCGCGATTCGCTGTCACGGTTCGAAAACCAACTTCCCTTCGAAGCTCGAATCCCGGTCATTTATTTCAGGCCCGGCACGTCACACGCTGTGCTGCGCTCGTCCGTGAACGGACCGGGGGCCCGCGAGAGCTCGCGAACGCAACGGACGTTCAGGCCGTACCAACCCCACGGAATACCGCGCCGTACCCCGAGCGACCGAGTCGCGCGACTCGGTCGCTCGCAACTGCACGAGTTGCACGCGTGTGGCGTCCCTGCGACTGGAGGTTGAGTTGCGCGCTGATTGGTTGCGCAGCTGCTCGTCGATGAGTGGGCCCGGCTCGCGAGTAGACGGGTCACGATCGTCACCCACGGCCTTCGCCTCGCTTTTGTCATCTCGTCTTTTTTTGTCCCCCTTCCCCCCCCCCCCCCCCCGGATACCGCTCGTGAAAGCCGACCTTTGGACGTAAATCGTAACAAATCCGCCTCTCCTGCCCATGACCACCCCCCCCCTTCGCCCTGCCCCCTCCCCGGTGGCGTGCAGGGAGCATGGAGGAGGCGGCGAGGATCGGCCGGCTGGCCCTCCAAAGTGTCCCCGGCGACCACGGCCTCCTCTTCACGGTGGCCAACGTGCTGGGCAAGATGGGTCGGTTTCAGGTGACCTCGAGCGCCATCCAGACGTCGGCGGGAGAGGGGGGGGGGGTGTAGCGGTTATCTGGACGAGCTGCGAACCCGACGAGCCGAGTTCGATTCCCGCTCACGGCCACCAACGTCGGTGACGGTTGTCTCCGCCGGTGTTGGGCCACCCCCTAGGTTGGCTCAGCCACGAATGGGTACCTGGCGCGGTGTGTAAACATCGCCACAAGGGGAGACAAAGGCGGCCGGGCGTGGTGTTGGCCACCCTCCCCCTCGTGTGTTGTAACGGCCTTCATAGGTGCTCGCTAACAGCACTTGCCCCAACAGTTCGTTCAGGCTACATGGGGGATCTTTGTCTTTGATGGGGGGATCTTTGTCTTTGGTGGGGGCATAATCCGTTAATTTACCCCGTCTGGCCTATTTTATATTCATCGCAAATGACTCAGGGGCCCCCCCACGTGGCCTTCTGCCTCGGGCTTCTAGCCCAAGGCCTCGAGGAAGTCTCTGTCATCGTCAGCCACGATCAATCCACTGCTGGGACGAAGGTCTCCCCAAGCTGCTGCCGGCCTTCTGGAAAGGGTCCTCGCCTGTGAGCGCACCGGCAGCTCACGAGCATCGGTTCACGCGAGCCCCGCCTCGGCCGCCGATGAGACGCCGACACGTCGAAACCGACCCCAAAAGTTTGCTTGCGTCGAACCGACGCTGCTCTCAAGGTGCACTCCCAGAAGGCCGTGTGGCCAACGGGTTCTGTAAAAACCCGCCCCCCCTAAAAAGAAAAAAACACGTTAATTTGTTTCACGTGCGGAGACAGCCACGCGCGCGGGAAAGGGAGGCATTGTCATCAATTGCGCAGCCAAGCGAATAAGCAAATAGATCGCCACGCGCGAAACGCCGAGGGCCTTGGGACGCTCGTTTCAAGGGTGGCACTGTGAGCCACTTCCGCAACGCTCGCCGCAGAGTCGAGCGCGCTGCGGGACTTCCAAGGCCTTATCCCGCTGCCCACTTCCTCCCTTGTGGCTTTGGCACGGTGCCCCCCCCCCCCCCACCCCGCTTAAACCACGTGGCCCTGACTCACGCTTTCAAGGATATCCCCGCAGTAGAGCCGAGCCGTGCGGTTATTTATTTAACCGACCGGTTAATCTGACCCGCCAATCGCAAAGTACTACGGTGAGCTTCTTTCGCGGCCGTACGTGGCCAACGGCGCTAAACGGAGGTGCCGGGGGGGGGGGGGGAAGGACGGCAAACTAACGATTTAAAAGTGCACAGCCCCCAATGGCTTCCTCATATGGGAAGGAAGAGGCGCTCCAGACGGCCGCAGAAGCGCACCTGAAAGCGTCGAACGAAGACGGCGGCCGCCGGTCAGCCGAAAGCCGCCGCGAGGATGATCGCGTGAAGATGGTTTACTGCTCCCTGACGAGACGAAGGCATTCGAGCCAGCAGCCAACCGTGGTCGCGGAGATTGTCTGGGTGCGCTGGGTGCGCGCATGGCATCGTGGCACCGACGTTCGGATGCGGATCACGAGGCCCGCTCACGTGACGCAACCAGCCGAGCTTTTTGTCGAACGCCTGACGACGCTGGCTGTAATCTCCGGCGGCACGTCGAATCAAAACCGCCGCCGCAGAGGCACCAACACGGGCGCGGTCAGCGGCTACGGAGGTGAACGGGCACGTGACGCCGTCACCTCCCTTATGCTCGTCGGGCCCGTGCACGTTCGGAAACAACGATGACCCTAAAAATATATATATATAATTGAAACAATAAAAACATGTATAACGGGCGACGTTTCGGGCAACGGCCCTTCAGAAGCACGGCACACGGATTGCCCGAAACGTCACCTATTACACGTACATGTTTTTTTCTTCTTGGCCGCACGAAGTGCCACACGAGCGTGTTGAGCTTCGTCGCCGTTAACCGCGCCTGTGCACCGCTGGCGACGCGGCAGCGGCATCGCCAAGTCATTCCTGTTCGCGTGTCGTCGGTGCAATTCCGAACGTGCAGCCCTACCACGCTCCTTTGTAGCGCCGTTCAAACCGTGCCCCTCCGACGCGTCAGCGTCAACGGTTCTCGCGTCCGCACGTCATCAAACTGGAACAAACGAGGAACGTGCCACCAACGCATTGCCGCAACAACAACAGCAACATAAGTCACCGTCTCATTCGTTTGTTAAACAAGAACTTTTTTCTTCTTCTTCACGGATTCAAATTTGCAAGCGCGGAGAGAGTAGCGTGAGGGTGTGTGTGTGTGTGTATATATATTCATGCATGTGTGTGTTCGTGTGTGTGTGTGTAGCGGTGGTGTAGCGGTTAGCGCTACGCTGCGCTGCGAACCCGGCGACCCGGGTTCGATTCCCGCTCACGGCCACCAACACCAGTGACGGTTATCTGAACCGGTCCTGGGCCTCCCCTAGGTCGACTCAACCTCAAGTTAGTACCCGGTGCGGTGTGTAAAAATCGCCACTGGAGAGACAAAGGCGGCCGGGCGTGGTGCCGGCCTCCACAGGTGCTCGCTAACAGCACTTGCCCCAACAGTCTGTTACAGGCTACACGGGTAACCTTCGTCTTATTTGCGTGCACATCGCGGAGGATAAACGCGCGCCTCCTCCTTGTGTTCCGCAGGATTCTGAGGGCCTCTACCTCCAAGCTCTCAAGGGCAACCCGAACGCCGCCAACTATCACGGCAACCTGGGTAGGAGGTTCCTCCGATCGCGCGCGATGCTTTGTGTGTGCCTGGTATCCGTCCCGTTTTATTTTGGCCGGCTGCGTTGACCGACTCGCCTGGAATGCTCCATCCCTTTTTCCCGTCGGACTCCCCGGAGTTTAAAAAAAAAAACACACACACACACTTTTCCCGACGGTACTCTCGTCGTTTCGGGAACGTTGTCAGAATTTCGGTTTCGGAATCCGTTTGCCCTCCCGTGCGCCCGCGCCAGCGCGCCCGCGCCAGCGTGCCCGCGCCAGCGGTTCAGCGCGCCGCGCTGCTGCTGCTGCGCTACGAACCCGGCGAGGCCGAGTTCGATTCCCGCTCACGGCCACCAACACACCAGCGACGGTTGATCCTAACCGGTCTTGGGCCTCCCCTAAGTCGACTCGGCCTCAAATGAGTACCCGGTGTGTGTGTGTGAACGTCGTTTAGGGAACGTGTCGTCTGTGCTCCCCACCGTTGTCGCCAAACCCGCGCGCTAGTGACCCCAGCATGTCGGAGTGCGGGGTCGCAAACGACCCCGCACGGCATTGAGGAGGCCCGCGCGTGCTCATCCAGCGGTGGAGTGCCAGACAGGGGCCCGTACTCCTTGCATCATTTGGATGTTGAGAAGCCCCGGGGAGCCGGTTGTCTCTGAATTGCAATTCCAGGCATTGAAAAAGTGGATGAAAGGCTAATTCGAGCGATATCGCAAATTACTCATTTAGGGTTGACACGTGGCAATTTGTGTCAACTTCCACTTTTTCATCCTTGCAGCAGCGGCGGCTTTTGGCTCAGCCATCGAACACAGACGGTGGTCACCGCATCACCGGGCGCTTTCAGATGAGCTTCCGCGGCCGTCTGGAACGCTCTCCCTTCCTATATTTCGGAAGCCAATGGGAGCTGTGCACTTTTCAACTAATTTCTTTAGAACTGCTTGTTGCTGTGTTTAGTTCCTTGTCCTTCCCCCCGCACCTCCGATTAGCACGGATGGCTACGTACGGTGCGAAAGAAGCTCAACATACGTACCTATGTAGATGCATTTCGCGCCCCCTGCTTCTGAAACCGTTGCGAACTTTCGTGACGGGTCGTCCACCCCCACCCCCCGCGCCGTTCTCACCCGAACTTGGCGAGCCGCCGAGTTTCGCGTCGACTAATCGGAGCGCGCCGATCGCTGTCGCTCGCCAAGGGGTGTTGTACCACCGCTGGGGCCGGCTGGAGGAGGCGCGCAGGAGCTACGAGACGTCGCTGAGGATGGAGCCGGGCGACCCGGGAGTACGGGACAACTACGGCCTCCTCCTGCGCAGGCTCGCCCGGGACACGGCCGCCACCGTGAGCCCTCCCCGCGCCGATTGAAGGAAACGTCCACCCGGCACTCGCTTGGAACCTTAACAACAACAACAACTTGCAATGAATTTGTATAAAGCGATGCTTTTTTGAGTGAAAAAACACCGCTCCCGATACGGCGATCACGGGCGTCGTTGTGGAGAATCGAAACAACAAATAAGGATATTGGAATAGGTTTTACCCTTTTAACTGGCACAAAAACTGACACCTTTATTCAAGGCATCATGTTTGCAATAACCACAAGACAAGCAGTCAAAATGCAAACAAAAGAGACAACTCTGATAATAATATGCATTGTCCTTGAATTTGACTGGTCCACACCCGAGACAGCTTTTCTTAGAGCCTAGTCTCCATTGGTGTTGGACCAGAAGACGCCAAAAGGCGTACAACTCAAAAAACAGCACACTATCAGAGTATTGAGGGCTCGGGGTGAGCATGTACATTATGAGACCTCCTTTGCCAGTAACAAGATATTGGAATAGGTTTTACCCTTTTAACTGGCACAAAAACTGACACCTTTATTCAAGGCATCATGTTTGCAATAACCACAAGACAAGCAGTCAAAATGCAAACAAAAAAGACAACTCTGATAATAATATGCATTGTCCTTGAATTTGACTGGTCCACACCCGAGACAGCTTTTCTTAGAGCCTAGTCTCCATTGGTGTTGGACCAGAAGACGCCAAAAGGCGTACAACTCAAAAAACAGCACACTATCAGAGTATTGAGGGCTCGGGGTGAGCATGTACATTATGAGACCTCCTTTGCCAGTAACAAGATATTGGAATAGGTTTTACCCTTTTAACTGGCACAAAAAATCTTGTTACTGGCAAAGGAGGTCTCATAATGTACATGCTCACCCCGAGCCCTCAATACTCTGATAGTGTGCTGTTTTTTGAGTTGTATGCCTTTTGGCGTCTTCTGGTCCAACACCAATGGAGACTAGGCTCTAAGAAAAGCTGTCTCGGGTGTGGACCAGTCAAATTCAAGGACAATGCATATTATTATCAGAGTTGTCTCTTTTGTTTGCATTTTGACTGCTTGTCTTGTGGTTATTGCAAACATGATGCCTTGAATAAAGGTGTCAGTTTTTGTGCCAGTTAAAAGGGTAAAACCTATTCCAATATCTTGTTACTGGCAAAGGAGGTCTCATAAATAAACAAATAAGGAAACGGGGGCCTCTAGTCCGCTTGTCACGTGCTCCGAAGGTGGACGCTTGCGAAGGGAACATTTTGTGTGGCGCTCGTTTAGCCCGTTTAGCTTAAAAGCTCTTTCTCAACGACCGCCCGGACGATTAGCGGTGTGCCGGGGGGGGCCTGGATGTGAATAAACGCCGCCACCGCGTCCGACCTTTTGCTCCGCGGGCCGGGAGCTTCTCCGGGAACTGAACGTTGCTGGGGATCTTCCGTGGGAAGGCGAAGAATCTCCCGGAATCTTCGCACATCGCGCCCGAACCGGTGACGCGGTTGACAGGAAGCGTACGTCGGAGAGCTGGGTGATGCGGTGAACTTTGTTTACAGTCGCGTTTGGCTAAATGCGTTTGCTTCAACAATCATTTTAACACGTGGGCTATCGCCTGATGGGGCTGGTTGCAATCCACCGGCGAAGCGTCATTGCAAATGTTGTTGCGGGTTTACTCTGGCGTGCAGAACTCGTGACTGATTGTCACGAGTCCTGTTCACGTGACGAGCCTTACTGATTGGCTGCGTCAGGTGGTGGCGGGTTTAACCGCTCAACGTATATACTTGCGCGATCTAACCCAAACAAAGAACCATTACTATGAAACAATCATGTTGAAAGATGATTTCGTGGAATGTTTACTCGCCGCGATAATAACTTTTTGTTAATTGTTGGGGTTGGAGGGGACGAACGCAGTCGCGTTTTTTTTTCTTGATTAATTCCTGAAATAGAATAGTGACTTGCGCAGCGGTTAAACGCAAGTGGGTACGACAGGGTTTCCGATTCACACTTTTGCCGCGTTCGAATCATTGGCGTTGTTAACTCGACTTTAAGGTGTACGTAAAATGATTGGAATGGATGAAAAATCTATACGTTCTTTAAAAAAAAAAACTTACTTGAAAAGCTAAACTAGAAGATGCGTGTGCGTGTGTGAGCAGTGGTGCAGCGGTTAGCGCACTGCGCTACGAACCCTGTGACCCGAGTTCGACTCCCCGCTCACGGTCAACACAGGTGACAATAATCCGAGGTCGACTCAGCCTCAAATGAGCACCTGGTGCGGTGTGCGGTAAACATCGTCACTGGGGAGACAAAGGCGGTCGGGCGTGGTACTGGCCACCCACCCCCTCGTGTGCCGTCCCGGCCTTCAAAGTTGCTCGCTAACAGCACTTGCCCCAACAGTCTGGTAAGGCTACACGGGGGATCTTTGTCTTTTAATATTTCGTTTGTATGAATCATGTGGCGATGCTGCTGCTGCATTGGCAGCGTTGCACAAGCACAATCGACAACAACAAAACTCAACATACTCATCAACAACAACAACACTTTAGCCTTAAAAAGTGAAAGGATGTATAAGCGGTGACGTTTTTGGCAACGGCCCTTCTTCACGTGCGATGATGGTGGACCATTGCTATAGAGAAGGGTCATTGCCTGAAACGTTGCCCATTACATATGTGTGTGTGTGTTTCCTTTCCGGCGGTGTTGTTGACGGTGTTTGTTGTTGTATAAATGCATTTTTGAGATGCGGTGAATGTGTCGTTTGAGTCTTACACGCGATTGGTTCCATCCAATTACTCCGCAGTTTGATTCGGAACGCGACAGCAAAGACGGCGCTGTTGATCGCATCGCGGTCCGCGATGCCTGCTGCGACCTCGTTTTGTAAAACTGATTAAGCTACTTGCCTTATGCAAATAAACGCAGGGCAATTCGAACTTGTGTTGAGCCGTGTTTTCGTCCTATAATTCCACCCGGCGCATGTTGGCAAAGACCTTGTCGCAATGTTACGACGGCGCGCGTTATCCCATCGTCATCGTCGCCGCCGCCGCCGCCGTCGGTCATCGCCGTCGGCCGTAAATCTATCCGCTGCTAAGTAAAGGCCCTCCCCGCGCCGACGCCACCCGTCACCACGGTCCTGCCACGCCGCTCGGTCCGCCGTCTCTCCCCGTGACACAGCGGTTGGCACCCAGGACCGGGTCGGATACCCGCCCGCGAGCGGTGCCGACGCGCGGAGCGAGCGCGTCGGAACCGCATCGCCGCTCGCTCGCTCACTCGGTACGTCATTGGGATTCGGAGCCACTGACAAAACTCCGCCGTCCCGACTCCTCCGTCCCGGCCCCTGCGCTCCTCCTTCTCTGTGTGTGCGAGTTGGCGAGCGATTTGGCTTCTCGGAATTCACTGCTAAAAAAAAGGCATTCGTGCAGCCAGCGTCGTGGTATCACCGTGCACCCGTCCTTTTTCAGGAATAATCATATAATAAAACATTTTTGGGGCGTTCCAGTCCTTTTTAATTAAAACCCCCAACCCATCAGATTAGGCGACGTCAATCTCCGAGCCCCATGCTTTGTTGCCGATGCTAAATTATTATTATTATTGAGGCTGGCTCCCCTTGTGGCATATATTACACTTCTAAAGTTAGGAGATAGTCACGGTGACAGCCATACAATGCGGCCTTATTAAGGTAACTGATGGCGGGGCTCACGTGATGGTATGATATGCTGTGTACACATAAAGTGATAAAGACGTGAAGCTTCAGGGATGCTGCTGACACAGTGGTGCAATGATGAGCAACGCTGGAATTGCAATCCAGAGGTCTCGAGATTCCGTGTGAGCAATCCACCTCTCGGCGTGGCAGCTGAAACAATGGGTAATCATTAAATCACCCCATCACTCCACCCCCCCGCCTCCCTTTTTCTGTCCACCCAGCAGTAAAAATGATCGGTACATCACAGGCAGGTTCATGGGCGGCTTGCGTATGGCGGGGTAAAGTGTGGGTACCCGCACCTATTCCAAAACGTCGGGCTAGCGCGGAAGAGTAGGCCAAACCCACCCTCTGGAGGGGGACTCTCCATGGCTGGAGAAGCCGCTGGGTGGCGTTTAACCATACTTCACCACACTGGCTCAGCACGGGTTGGTGCAGGCGGAAGGTGGTGAAGTGCGTTAACCGTTGCGCCACCGCTCCCACCGCAGAGGGCTGACGGTGCAATGCCGCGTGTGGTGCGATGGAGGATGCTGAAGGCCGTTGGGGGCGGCTGGGGGCAGCTGGAGGCCCCTTGGAGGATGCTGGAGGCCCCTTGGAGGCCGCTAAAGGCCGCTGGAGGTCCCTTTGAGGATGCTGAAGGCCCATTGGAGGCCGCCAGAGGCCGCTGGAGGCCCCTTGGAGGCCGATGGAGGCCGCCAGAGGCCCCTGGAAGCCCCTTGGAGGCCGCTAGAGGTCCCTGGAGGCCCCTTGGAGGCCCCTGGAGGCCCCTTGGAGGCCGATAGAGGTCCCTGGAGGCCCCTTGGAGGCCCCTGGAGGCCCCTTGGAGGCCGATAGAGGCCGCTAGAGGCCCCAGGAGGCCGATAGAGGCAGCCAGAGACCGCTGGAGGCCCCTTGGAGGCCGCTAGAGGTCCCTGGAGGCCCCTTGGAGGCCCCTGGAGGCCGATAGAGGCCGCTAGAGGCCCCAGGAGGCCGATGGAGGCCGCTAGAGGCCCCCCCGCCTGCCTCGTGTGCGTGCGCGGCCGTGGAGTTGCGAGTCGGCGCCGGAGGCGAAGTCTCAGGCTAAGCAGGCTTCTGAGCCTGGAGAGTGTCTTGGATGGGCGAACACGGTGCACAGCAGGTGTTATAGGCTGCGTCTGTGGGTCGGCGGTGGGGACTACTGTTGTAGCAGGCACCGCACTTCACATTCAGTATCTACTATAGAGTCAGTAGTGTCTACTATAGAGTCAGTAGTATCTACTATAGAGTCAGTAGTATCTACTATAGAGTCAGTATCTACTATAGAGTCAGTAGTATCTACTATAGAGTCAGTAGTGTATACTATAGAGTCAGTACTATCTACTATAGAGTCAGTAGTATCTACTATAGAGTCAGTAGTATCTACTATAGAGTCAGCAGTATCTACTATAGAGTCAGTATCTACTATAGAGTCAGTAGTGTCTACTATAGAGTCAGTAGTATCTAATATAGAGTCAGTAGTATCTACTATAGAGTCAGTAGTGTCTACTATAGAGTCAGTAGTATCTACTATAGAGTCAGTAGTATCTACTATAGAGTCAGCAGTGTCTACTATAGAGTCAGTAGTGTCTACTATAGAGTCAGTAGTATCTACTATAGAGTCAGTAGTGTCTACTATAG